CATCACTCTTGTGAGGGTACACTCCGCATCTTACTTAAGCTTTGCTCCTAGTTGTGTCTGCTAAAGCTCATTTCCAGATTACGACGCAAGTTAGTGGCAAAAGAAGATCCGGTGAGCTAGCTTTCACGTCAACTTGATCTCTTTCATTGTAGTATGTTTAGGTATCATGGCCGACGAAAATCTGCCTTCAACATCTACTCCAAGGCGCACATACACGGAACTTCGCCCATTGAGGCCCTTGAACAGAGTAAGTTGTAGCATGTTCACAAATTCGGGGTTAGGATGAGAAGGGGGTTGAAGTCGCTCAACAATTTTAATGCTTGATACAGATACTTTATGAGTATAGAAGGAGGAGGGGAGGGAATGAGTGGGGGAAAGGGAATGTTTCTAGGACTGATGCTTTTAATAACGGGACAATCAATTTGGCCGTTTGGAATCTCTGATCGCTTATCAGTTTGTCACTTCTTCCAAACTTGTAGCTGGAAGTTGCTACCCGGGGGTAGGCGAGGGTACTGATCACGAACTAGATAGTGGCTCTTAACAGTTCATCAGTTTTTATCAAAACTTAAAGCCACGGGGCTGGGAGTTGGTATCCAGGGGTAAGTAAGGGCGCTCGTTACGGTTATAAGCTCCCTGGCATCTCATGTCGAAGTTTGGAAGTTTTCCTGCGTACTTACTTTTAGCTCGGTAACACAACATTTGAAAAGTTGATAAGCTATAGATTGATATCAAATGATTGGATAAATCTGAGGTCAATTTTTTCATAGGAATACGATGTAGAAAGCCAGTTCGACATGCCCCTCGACTATGCGGAGGAGTGTAGAACTCCATCGCAACCGCTTCAATGTGAGTGAAAATTTCCTTGCGTACTAACGCTGTGAATGCTTTAGTCATTTAGTTGACTCGGAAAGGAACTCACACTCTGCTCGCGCACCACCACAGCAGACACCACCACCTGCGCTCTCTGAGCCGCTAGGTCTGTCAAACGTAACAAACCGCACAGTAGAAAATTGGTAAATTTCTAGAGGCTATAAGAAGCTGCCTTGCGCGCGAAGTGGGAATTTCCGATTTTTCCGCAGTTCTGTACGCAACGCTTGTAAGAGGAGAACCGCTGAATACCGTGTCCATGCAGGTAACATAGCGTTTCCGTGGCGGTGGTCTTCGAAAGTAGAATTTCATAGGAAACTTTGCACCATTGCTTTCGACCGATCAGACAGTTCGACATGGCAGATATTTCTAGTGTGGTGCAAAGTGCGGAGCGCTCGCGATTAGAAAACTTCTACGACACCACGAAACAAATCGTCTGCTCGTGGAGATAGTGATTGCGAATCGTGTCGAGGCGAGATCCACTACAACTTTTTCAAAAAGAAATGAAAAACATTGGCAATATAGATGAACTTGCATCTGGCAAAAAACAGAGCACTGGAGGATGAGGTGGACAGACTGAAACAGATCCTCAGTGTCAAACGCCCTCTCTCCGATACGTCTAGCGAATTCAAGTAAGAAAATTTGAGAGAAGACCACCTCATTCGCCTTCATCCGCCATTCAAGGCTTTTAGAAACTAACTGTTGCAAAAAATTCGTCAAATCTTATTTGTAGGAAGTCAATTTGAATGAATTTCTAAGAAAGTACGCCCCTCCAAAAAGAGTAAAAAACGACGTTACCAGTGAAGTCATCGATTTTTTGCGAACTCTGTTCAAAGAGGTGCGTACACAACTCTGGATACAAAATGACCATCACGTAACCTCGTAACCTACACTTAGATCTGCGCACCCGATCCTTCTGATTTCTGGAACTACGCGTATCGTGTTTCAAAAGTCGCTCGAAGGACGGATTTAATCAATCTACCCGATTCTATTCTTGATGCGCTTACAGGTGAAGGTAATTTACAGCTGAAAGGGGTTAAGCAACAAAACATTTAGAGTTCATTTTGGATGCTTTGGATTTGAATCACAAATGAATCTTTACGGAACGAGGCTGCATTTGCTAAAGAACTCACAAAACAGGTGCTGTCTATATCCACAATAACCATTTTAGGCGCTGAAATTTTTTTTTTAGTTTTTGGCTGTCGTTAGCTGAAACGGAGCAGGGACGTGAAAAAGCTTTCAATTCGCTGCTCGAAAAAAAAGTCGAGATGGAGCGTGAGCGCAAAAACATGCATTGCTGAAGCGCTGTAAGTCCACCACTTCTACATTACGCCATCGTAAAACGGTAGTTTCTCTTTTTAGCGAGGATGTGCGCTACTGTCGCCTGCACGAAGGTTGTCTTGTTCCACCGAAGGTGTGTTAGAATCCGCTTTCTCCTATCTCTATTCACATATATATTCTTTCAGAAATCGAAGGGTGCCCTTGTCGGACTTGGACGCACCGACAAAGGGACAATGAGCACGGAGGCTTGGAAAGCAAACTTAGACGTCAGCAATGAGAACTTAGGCAGTCAGCCGTGAAAACAATATTGTTCCTTTTATCAATGTTGATACCTGAATACTCATCACGTGTTGTTATGTGTTCAATTATTCGATGAAGTTTTTATGTTAAGTGTTAAACAAACATTTCATCTTTAAAAAATATATAGAATAAATATATAGATGTTCTTTATGGCAATCGCATTAGAAGTGGTCATTAGGTGACCATTTTAGATGGGATTCCGGGGGATAAAGCAAGAAGTTCTCGAGAACTTCAATTAAAGAAGTTCCCGTGAACTACAGTTTTTTGGGAACTTTCCGAGAACTTTGGATGAAGAAGTTCCGGCGAACTACAATCTTAGACGAAGTTCCCGAGAGCTTCAGAGCTGAAGTTCCCAGGAACTTAGAATGGAGTTCCCACGAACTTACAATGGAGTTCCCCAGGTGACCCGCCGAAACTTTCTTCAATGTTCGCCGGAACTTCCCCCCGTTTGTCTGAGTGTAGCCGGGATCAGAGGTGCGATGGGGGAAGCCCGGCCCACCAAAAGTGAAGGTGGTCCCAGCTACCACTAGCCGGCCAAAGTGAAGGTGGTAGTGCCGGACACTCACCATAAGCAAGGCAAATGCAGAAGAGATCATTGAAAGTATATTTTCATGTACAGGGTGCGGCAAAAGTCTGGGAGCCTAACTCTGCAGTATTGCAATTACAAAAGTACTGGTGATTTTGATTTCAATTTTATGCCACATGATGCTGCGGTCATCCTCTATAACATACACTTTATTTGGATGGAAATGGCTGCCACATGTTTTTGTAAGAATGGAAATTACCAAACTAGTACATTTGCAAAGCGAAAAAACCAGAATTTTTAGTATTTACAATTTTTGCTGTAGCTAGAGATGCTGTTAATATTTTACAAAACTTCGATGCACACAACAAAGAAGAGGCGTTGCGCTATTGTATCCTAGTTTTGCTTTTGCCAGGAGCTGTTCTTGTATGAACGGAAAATGAAAGTTTGCGAATGTTACCTACCTGCCAGTGGAAATCCGTGTTCAGAACAAATTTAAAAGCTATAAAATGCTTAACAGGCACTGGAACCAAGGCTGTATTTTTTACATACGTCTTTTAAATTAGAATCTATTGAAATTCGGCCATGGGAACACTTTTTGTACTTTTTAAACGATAATTTTGAGTTTTTATTCGCGCAATTGTAGCCAAAATTCCGGTATGCGACGTACACATGCTTCCAATTAGAAATCCAATATTTTTATTCCTAAACAATGCAAAAAACTCTTTTGGAAGCATGTTGTAGATAAAAGCTTGCTCTATCGTGCTGCGCATGTGCCAAGGTAAAAGAAGCAGTTATTGTGAAGGCGTGGGGCGAATTCCATTACGACTACCTGCGTGTCACGACAGGTTAACCTGCCAAGATTTTGTAGGGCTGCGTGGAAGCCCGAAGAGGCAATTTCGAAATTCAAGAACTGAGCTGTATCTGCAATGGTTCGAATTATGTTTGCGCCAAATTTCTCGTTTCTAGGTGCGTCCCTTCCCATTTTATATGAAAAAGTACTAGGCTCTCAGACTTTTGCCGCACCCTGTATAAGCGTCATAAATGCCTAAAATAAACGTGCTTATCAAATAGTGTATTTGGAAGTGAAACTCAGCGGAACCGTACGTATTTTATCAATTAAATTTTGTTATAATGTACAGCGAAGAAAGTAGATCGATCCAGGCACTAACGGCCGAGAACCCCAATTTTGAATAATTAAATAGTGAAAAATCATGCGAAATTTCCACTCTTATAAATATGCTGTTGGAAGATGTCAGCAGTTGCGACTTCATAGGTTTTGAAGAGTAAATGGTGCTCTATCAGATAGTGAGGGAATCGAGTCGAATTGAGAGAAAGTCTTCGAAAACCAAAATTCTAAAATTTACGCCATTTTAGGTTGCTTAGTGACAGCTGACAGTTAAACTCATTATACTGACTCATGAGCCAGTATCTTCACAGGAATGCGGAGAATCAACGCGAATCACAGAATCACAGATAGCTAATGTGTGTGATAGTTGTTATGAGAACAAGGCTTTATCTCTTTGCTTCACAGACATTCTTTGTATTATGTTTATGTATTTGAGTATATGTTTATGTGTTTGCTGTATATAAGCTAGCAGTTAGAGATGGCCCACTGTTCCTTTTTGCTTTGTATTAGTTTAGCCTTTTCTCTGCACGACTCATTGCACGATAGGTTCTCCGCACTACACCGTCTGTAGGTAGTCACAGTCACAGTCACAGTAACATCAGTTATCATGTGATTGTACTTAGAATAGTTGTAGGATTTAGTTTAGCACCTTTGCGCATTATTTGTTATTTGTTAGTCTTAATAAAGGTTCAATTACCCAAGTTTGAGGTAACACTCGAACCGACTCGCGCACGTTCCCAAAGTCCCGCGTGGCAAGCTAGAGCGACACAAGTGTCAATTCAAGTGGTGCATCGGACCAATTGAAGAGGAATCCAAGCCGCACGTAGAGGTACGAAACTCATTTGATCTCACTGGTTCCGAGATAAACGCACGAGCACAAAAATTGACACAACAGCGAATATGACCACAACAGTAAGAGCCTATAAAGGACTGACAACTAAGCGAATTGATAACGTACTAAACTGGTTGCGCGAGTCATCTAAACTTCTCGACCCCGTAGCACCTGACCTCAGGCAAGGGCAAGCACAGAAAATCAAACTGGCGATAGAACTGTGCGACGAAAACATCAGCCTTATGGAATCCTCCCTCACCAAACTCACAGAAGCATTTGATAGGATAGAAGACACAGACAATGAGGAAGAGGAACAGCTGGACAAATACTTAGAGTCGGCACAAGAAACAATAATAAAACTACACGTGCACAAAACTAATCTCAAGCAAGTAATGCATGAGATTGGGCAGGAGAGTAGTGGTAGTAGCCATGCAAGTTCACTAGCCACGAGTAAACTTCCTGTCATACCCATCCCAGTTTTCTCAGGCAAGAAATGGGAATGGGACAACTTCTGGGCTCTTTTTAGAGCAAGTGTGCACGATCAGGAGCTGACAGAGCTCCAAAAATTCAATTATCTGCTGTCGTCCCTTACAGGGGAAGCGAAGCAATCAATCTCGAGATTCTTCGTTTCAGCAGAAAACTATGGGAAGGCTATCCAACTTCTTGTTGACCGATACGGCAACAAAGATGGGATAGTACTAGAACTAAACAAGCATCTTCAAACCTGCATTGCACGAGGACCAAGCACTATGGACCAAAAACAGCTTTTCGATAAGCTGTCAGCCATAGCTGCCCAACTCACAGAGCATGGAGAGCACCTCGATAACCAACTAACAATACAAACTTTCCTGCAAAAATTCCATGTACGCATAAGAAGAGCGGCCATGGAAAAGAACCTTCGTCAGGAGGAAGGGAATTGGACACTCGATCAGTGGTTTAAAGCCATCGATGAAGTCCTCACACAAGAAGAAAAGATAGGCGAGATACTCGCACTCAGCACACAAGTACCAACCAAAAAGAATTTCATTCTCAACAATGCTTGCGAATGCTGCGGAAAGAAGGGCCACAGATGGGTTATTTGCCCTACAGTTCCCACAGCTGACGACAAGAGAGACTTTTTGGTTGCGTCAAAAAGATGCCTTAATTGCGGATCCAATAATCACAGAATAAGCACGTGCAACAGCGGTAGTTGCCGCAAGTGCGGAGGAAGACATCATACTGCAATTTGCACGAAGGCAAAGGCATCCTACGAACCTCGTTTCGAAAGTGTTTCCTCACACAAGGAAACAAGGAGTTTCGGCAAGAAGCAATATCGCTCTGACACCAACTCCTTGCAAAAGGAAGGAAGAACTTTCGGCAACGAAAGTACAATCAAAAAGTTTGACAAGAAGGATAAGATGCTACAAAAATCTATTAAATCTTCAAAACTGCACGCTGTAACCACGAAGAATCAGGAGGAACAAGAGCCTAATACTCCAGCAGTGTTGCAGCTACAACGGGATGAAAACCCTGAAAGGACAAACCACGGCAAAGTCATTCTGCTTACCGGTTCAGCAGATGTGGTGGGCCCGGAAGGAGACACAAAAACTGTAACCGTTTTACTAGATACGGGTTCAGAGCTCTCCTTCATAGAAAAGAGCCTAGCGGACGAGTTGAAGCTAGCCACGCATGGCACCACGTCTCTGCAAATAAGCACCTTCGGATCACCAAAACCCGTACGGAAAATTTGCGAACTAACGAGTTTGAAACTGAAAGATAAAGAGGGCACACTGCACGAAATCCATCTGTACAAGAACGACTTCATTACGGGCGCAATTCAACGAGCAAGTTTGAATCAAAAGGATTTGCACTTTATTGAAACGCAACAAATTCCGCTATCACTTCCCTTAGAAGGAAAAGAGGTGCAACCAAGAATATTACTTGGTTGCGACCACTTATGGAACTTCGTAACACCCGCAAGCACTCAGACAATTGCTGGGGGCAGGCGGGCACCGGAAAAATAGATTGCTGATTTCTCGCACCCCGCTCGCGGATTTTTTGCAAAGCAATCAGGACTTTTCGGAAGACCGCCCGCTGAGTCAGCGGATTTTTGAGAGACCGCCTGTTGAATTTTTTTCGCTCTTATCTTTTGCAGATATATTGCTGAATCTCTGAGGAATCGAGAACTCAGCAAGCGGTCTTCCGAAAAGTCCTTATTGTTTTCCAAAAAATCCGCAAGCGGGGTGCGAGAGATCAGCAATCTATTTTTCCGGTGCCTGCCTGCCCCCAGCGATTGTCTGAGCAAGATGCGCCTACCCTCAGGATTGCAGCTCATTCCAACAAAACTTGGATATATCGTGAGCGGAAGTCAGACAACGCAGGAAACACAACGCCCAATAACACTCTGCACAATTCAAGGGTATGACGAGGAGAAGGAAACCTGGGATCGTTATTGGTCGCTGGAATCCTCAGGAACCGAAGAATACACAGGTTCACAAAAAACCGAAGTCAAGAAGTCGAGCGAAAAAGTTCTCAAAGACTTCAAGGACTCGATCGAAAAGCGTGCAGATGGATACTATGTACGCCTACCATGAAAGGAACAACACCCACAATTACTGGACAACAAGGCACTAGCACTGAAGCGCTTGAAGAAAGTGCTAGACGTCTACGCGGAAGATCCAGACACTCTGCAGATGTACGACAATGTCTTCAGGGACCAACTGGAAAAAGGAGTCATAGAAGAAGTAGCACCAGATGAGGATTCAGAAGCGCACACCGTACACTATCTACCACATCAAGCAGTTATCACTCCTATGAAGGAAACGACGAAGATGCGTATCGTGTTTGATGCATCGGCACACTACAAAAACTGCCCGTGTTTAAACGACGTGCTGCACCAAGGACCTCTAATACTACCAGACATGCTGGGAATACTTCTTCGCTTCAGAATGCACGATATTGCAGTCATTTCGGACATCGAAAAAGCGTTCCTGCAAGTGCGATTACAAGAAGCCGATCGTGATGCTACTCGATGCATATGGATAAGGGATATCAATCGTCCACCGACTTACGACAACCTGGTCGTTTACCGATTCACAAGAGTAACGTTCGGACTCAATGCATCACCCTTTCTTTTAAGCGCCACAATCGACTTCCATCTAGAGCACACGGCACCGGAAGACGCACTAGCACCAGAGATAAGGCAGAACCTCTACGTTGATAACTTACTCTTTGGTGCACGATCATCAGAAGAAGCACTGCAAAAATACACGTTCTAAAGAGATCTTCCAAGGTCTCAACATGAACCTGAGGGAATTCATGTCCAATGACGAACGCTTCAACAGCACCATCAGGGAATGCGATCGAATGAAGACCTCTCACCCAAACGTGCTCGGTATACCATGGAATCCGACTACGGACAAAATTATCATCAAAGGCACTATGGCACCAGCAAAGGGAAGACTACGAAGAGAACAGTCACCCAGCAACTCGCGTCAGTATACGATCCCCTGGGACTCATGGTGCCCCTCCTTCTACCAGCAAAAGTATTTCTGCAATCCCTGTGGAAAGAAGGAATAGACTGGGATACACCACTAACACTACAATGGCACGAACAGTGGCGACATTTGTCAAAGGACACATCCATTTTCTACAAGGAAATAGACAGGAACACTATAAAGGCGGAAAAGGCAACCAGGATCTTCGTATTCGTTGACGCCAGCCAATTTGCAATAGCCTCATGCGCCTACCTAGCTTGGGGAAAGCAGTCGCAGTTAATAATGGCAAAATCCAAACTTCCCTCCCTCAAAACATCGATGACAATACCCAAACTGGAGATGAATGCACTAACACTAGGCATGAGAATGGCCTTCTTCTTGCACAATGCATTACAACCATTGTGCAAGATCGAAGAAATCATCCTGTTCACAGATTCGGAGATTGTCCTGGGATGGAGAAAATCGTCCCCATCACGCCAAAGCGTGGGAGTGCTGATAGCAAATCGCCTACAGGAAATAGGAAGAATTGTCAACGATTTGGAAGAACAACACGTACGCTGTCTTTTTGGACATGTGCGCACCGTGGAGAATCCAGCTGATTGCGGAACTAGAGGCTTGACATCAAACGCCCTACAAGATTACCTTTGGTGGCAAGGCCCAAATTTGATGCACGAGCACGACTGTAGCAATCTCACGCCGTTTGGTAACAGACGAAGTAGTCCTGGCAACACCACAAGTGACGCCGAAAACAAAAGCATTAAAGACTTCGCTGCTTGACTTAGATCGATTTCATTCCTTGCACAAGGCACAGAGAGTTATGGTTTATGTTCTACGATTTGTGAAAAGAGCGATCAGTCACCTACCAGAGCTACGGAAAGAACAAATTTATCAAAACATCCAAGCTCTCAGCGAAATATCAACATTGCACGAACTTACAGGAGCCGAAATGCACGAAGCAAGATCGCCATAATAATGGATCATCAAAGGGAATTCGTGCATGACGACCGCATCAATTCCCAAAAGGATTTGAACATTCACAAAGACGAGAGAGGATTACTGCGATGTTACGGACGCCTTCAAGAAGCCGACATCGCCAATACAGCTAAAACCCCAATTTTCATTGCACCAAGCACAGCATTAGCTAGGCTCATAATATCAGAAGCGCACGACTATTACCACAAAGGACTCGCTCATACAATGGCAGCAGTACGGGAAAAATATTGCATTCCCAAGCTTCGGCGACAAACGCAAGTGGACAATCTGCCCTTTACCTATTCCGAAAAGAAGGCAGTACCTTCGACCAGAGTGAGAAGATCAAAACCCTTTCAACATATAGGACTGGACTACTTCGGACCATTGATGATCAAGAACATGCACCAAGCACGAAAACAAAATATGGAATCAAATGGAACCGAAGAAGAAAAGAAAAATAAAGAACAAAAAGAAAACGAAGAAGTACAAAAAAAGATCGAAGGCTTATGGATGTATACTCACGTGCCAGACAACACGCCTCATACACTTGGAGTTGGTGGAGGACATGTCTACAGAAGCATTTGGAAATGCTCTTCGACGATTTTTCGCACGAAGAGGAGTACTTGAAACGATAACTTGCGATAACGCACCTACTTTTTTGCTGGGAGAGCAAATATTGCACGATGCAATAAACAACGCGGAAAACAGCACGGATCTCCAAAGCGATCTTGCACAACGAGAAATTCGATGGAAGCACATAACACCGTACGAACCGTGGCAGGGTGGTTTTTACGAACGGCTAATTCGCTCCATCAAAGACTCGTTGCACAAAACACTTGGAGTACGAATCGTGACATTTGATGCACTAAGAACGATATTAGCAGAAATCGAGGCAGTGCTAAATTCACGACCGCTTACATATCAAGAAGAGAAATGGGAAGATCAACCAATTCTCCGGCCCATAGACTTCCTGCAAAACGATATCATACTGCACTTTCCCTTGCAAAACATAGGAGGAAACGGAAAGGATAGGACCTACCATACTCCAGAAGAAGCACAACAAATGGCCACACAACATCAGGCAGAGGAAGCACTAAAGTCATCAGTCAATTTAACGGAAAAATTCTGGAAGATCTGGAGCACACAGTATCTTACAAATCTGAGGGAATTTCACAGAATACACATCGACGAAAAAAGAGGAACAACCAAAAGACCGAAGGAAGGAGATGTGGTACTCATGTGGGAGTCAGTGCAACCAAGAAACACATGGAAAATGGCAAGAATAATTGAATTTCAAGACGCACCAGGGGCAGGGAAGTTGTGCTAGAAACATCTAACAAACATAAGCTCAGACGCCCCAACATTCGCATAGTACCACTGGAGCTTGGACAGGATCAAGAAGAAACATCCAGCCCGCGAAGAGTAACATCCACCCCGCAGGAAAATACACCACAAACGAGGTACAATTTGCGCCCAAGGAAGAAGGTTGATTACACCGAAGCAAAGGACGAAGGTACCAGCCTTAATTGCCTACCAAGCCTTTTCAAACACAATGCCCACCTTTTTACAGTCTTACTCCTAACAATATGTGCGCAGGTCTGCTTAGGCGGCAGCAACATAATGCGTCATCTTCAATGCATTGACGGAGGAGTAATTCTAACACAGGAAGAACCACACCAATATGAGATTTGTGCGGAGGACTACTGCATCGAATATCGCCAACCGCAGCGAATAGAAACGGTAAGATTCCCCGCACAAATCACGCTGCAGGAGCACTTAGTGAAGTGGAAAACCTTTGACGGACGCGAAGTAAACATAGTGGAAACGAGTTGTAAAGCAGCACAGTTCTGTGAACAACTTACCTGCACCTTCTGCACGGCAATGATGACCAACCCGGAATGTTGGCCACGAACAGCCATTCTTGTAACAGGAATTGCAGCTTACGCAGCAATTTCCATATGTTACTGCGTATTTCATGAGCCAGTATTGATTGGAGCTCCATTACTGTACCTTTTGAAGATAGTTGTATTGTGTGTACGATTATCGGTTAAAACAGTATGGAACACGATGGCAAAGATATTGGCACCAGCCCATCACAGACGTCGAAGGATTTCGTTCTCTAGAAGTGCAATACTCATGGCACTAAGCGTGAGCACAATACTGCAAGCGTGTCAAGACGTAGATGTCTTTACGCACCAAAGCAGATCCTGCTATCGCTCAAAACGAGGCCATTATTGCACGATTGATACAACGGAGATTCTCAAAATCAACCCTTTCAAGCAAGAAGCCTGCATCAGATTGAAAGGCAAGAACAACAACATCCTAGAAGTAAAACTACTTTGGAAAAGCCTCAATCTGATCTGCGAAAAACAAACGATACTGTTCACTAGAAGCACGCAGTATGCACTATTGGACAGCAAACGAACTATTGGACCACATGCAGGATCATGCGTAGGAGATAAATGTGGAAGTATCACGCGAACATCTCAAATCCCAGAACTGTACAAAGCAAATTACTACCCAGGCGTAACCGGATGCGGATTTATCTCATACCAAACGATGAGGAGGTGTATGAGATCTTCAGATGTGGAAGATGGAAACAGGTAGTAAACCTACAACTCTCTACTAGCGAAGAAGGAAAGCCAACACAACTTCACGACGTTCGTCTTGTTCCAAATCAACCCAGTATACTTTCGATATTTGCAATTACTCTTTCATCGATCAGCACTCCACCAACACCTCTGCTAAACACAGCCTTTCTCACGGATGGTAAACTCTTCGCACTGGCTCCAGCGGACTACCAGCCACCTCTAATATGTAATTCACAGGAAGAAGCACGAAACCTTACCTGCTGAGAGAGGAATGCACCTGTACACCAGCAGAGTCGAAAATGCGCTGCGACTGTAAAGAGGGCAACCTCACATCACATATTCGGGAACCACGGTATAGATTGCCTATATTGCGACCCAACCTTGAATTCCAGGAAATGAACGGAACGATAACTTCAAAAATACCACAGCTACCAACAGCGGAATTCCTACTACGCATCAAAGGGAAATTTAGCACGACTTCAGTACGAAGTCAGAAGCGGTATGCACAAGTGAAAATGCCCATTGCACAGGGTGCTATAAATGCACAAAGGGAGCCAAAGCCCTAATCACATGCATTTCCTCAACACCTGCAGCACGGGCAGAAATAGAATGCGGCGACGATGCATTCACGGTTTTGTGCTCACAGGAAGGTACACAAACAAATATAAGCTTCATAAGTCAAAAGGCCCAGTTCCACAGAAAATGTACTATTAAATGTGGGACAACGGTTAATTCCTTTAAGATTGCAGGAATCCTACACTACACGGGAAACCTACACGAAGCGACGCGACGCATCTTGAAAGGAGAAAGCGAAATCTTCTCGGAAATAAATCTTCCAGACTTTGGACATATATTCGAAGTATTTCGCAACTGGGGCTATACACTAGTGATCACCATTGCACTAGTGGCGCTCGCATTGCTGATGACATACACCTGCATCACGAACATGGTATTTTGCACAGTGATCAGACTCATTTTCCGACTTGGCTATTGCTTGTGCAAGTTATGCGTCTGTCTAGTGGGATGGATATTGCGCACGCTGCTCAAATCTCTTCGAAAACAACGAGGGAAGAAACCACGGCAGAAAATTCTCTGATGCGCATGAATCCACGACAGGCACAATAGCACGAGCACTAAACTCCAGATTCAATAGCAAATAACTTAGTCGGACACAGAAAACATGAGACACACAAAACATCATGCAAATCTGCCGGCGAGGTCAGTCAAAAAATTGCACGACAAACCCTTGTTGGCTCTCAGAAAGACATCTCTTTTCTACCACCAAAGGGACAGGATAGAATAAAGAGGGAGGATCACCTTATAGCTGATGTGAAAGCCATAAACATTAAAAGAGAAAAAACAATCAATATAACACAAGAAACGGCAATAAGCATGAAATACGGCAAAAAAGCAGGTGTAATGAGCGGCAAAGCTCCGAATCAAAACATCGCAATATTCGCGGCGGCGATCACACCGTGCTTGACTAAGCCTACGGGGATGGAAAGAATTGATAACAACTACTTGAGTAGCAACCAAAATCCGGCATCTAATCACTCAGTTATTATAACAGATAATGGACAAATTCACGGAAGAAGAGCGCAGATTTATGGAGGAAAATCTGAGGCAAGAATTCGCACGGAAGATAAGAATGGTCGAAAGCTCACCGGCTCGTCCCACGGAAAGCATCGTCCGGCAGAAACTCAAATTTTACGCGGACAAATGCTATGAGTTCGAAAGTCTACACAAGCACGCCAAAGCACGATTCGTTTCTCTAATGATGGACAGGTGGAATATGATCATTGTCAGAGGGGGAGCGTTGCACTAACTTCTGAAGATAAAGCAACTCTACATGGAGCACAAAGAAGAACGCACGAATCTCACAGTCATGAGAGACCAATTCGTGTTAGCGCACGAGTGGTACGAAGTCTTGGTGGCAATGAACGAAGCGAACGAGCTTAAACGACTGGCCTACATTAATGAGCTATCAGCCGAAGTCTTCTACGAGATGACGGAGCCGGGAGACGAAGGCTATCCCGAACCCAGGCAGACTCGGCGCAATTAAACGAAGGATCGAGTCTGCAGCATTGTGCACAACCTGTTAGGTCTTTACGACCTCCTCTTGAAAGAAGAAAAGGCAGCGGTAGAAGAAGCAGAATGCGAATTCAAACGGAACACAGCCGCAGAAGACAAAACTCTTCGTGAGATGAGAAACGCCTTTATGGATTTGCAGGACGACGTCAAAAAGCAGCAGCACGAAACACGGGAGTGGATGCAAGCCATGCATCAGCACTTCGAAGGACTGGTCACCCGCGAAATGAAAGACGGATTTCGCTCACTTCGCGAAGAGGTCAAGAGGCAACAGGAAAGCACAATGCACCAGATAGAAAACATTACAGCACAGTTACAAAACCTTTCTGGCCAAGTCAGCGAGGAGGCTGAAAGTCGGAAGCATGAGCTCAAATCACAGAGTAACAGCATCAGAAGCTGGCTGGACAAGATGGAGTCCTCCATTAGCAGCACGATGTCCACCAACGAAGATCCGCACAAGAGGCACCAAGATAAAGGACAACACCATGCCCAGCAAGGAGAAGAAGAAGACCGCACGTCACATTCTGGTTGCACGAGAACAGGTTCCAAGAGACGGCACGAAAGTCCCGTATCAGAGTTTGACCGGCAACAAGCCAACCTTCAGAGACTCCTGGATCAGAGCGAAAGGGAGGTAAGTGACGTAGAACACTTCTTATCCAACTGCGGAGGAATCGAAAGACGCTTCGGAGATCGAGAAATGAAGGACAACGAATCACTCCTTATGTGCGTCTGCAAGGTGTTTGGAAAGCACTATTCTGATGCATGCCCAAGGATAAGAAGTGTGGCCGAAAGACTGGAAATCCTGCGCGAGGAAGGTCGATGTCTAAACTGTATCGAACTGCATGACGCGTTAAGCTGCAGGAAACGCCCAATCTGCTTCTACTGCAAGAGAGCTGACCCATCGGCGCCACCATCAGAGCACCGTGAGCACCACGCAAGCATCTGCACAAAGCCCGAGGAGTACACCCGGAAGGTTCAGCTAAGGAAGGATCTCCTAAGAAGAATCGACAGGTGCAAAGAGGAGCTCATGAACTCTTGGAGACGCAGCGCATCAGCACGAGCACAAGAAGAGAAGCGGACACCAGATTACCAGTCACGGCCTACTACACCGCGAGGTCCCCCCGACTTCTATTGCTGAGGCCGGAGTATACTGACTCATGAGCCAGTATCTTCACAGGAATGCGGAGAATCAACGCGAATCACAGAATCACAGAATCACAGAATCACAGATAGCTAATGTGTGTGATAGTTGTTATGAGAACAAGGCTTTATCTCTTTGCTTCACAGACATTCTTTGTATTATGTTTATGTATTTGAGTATATGTTTATGTGTTTGCTGTATATAAGCTAGCAGTTAGAGATGGCCCACTGTTCCTTTTTGCTTTGTATTAGTTTAGCCTTTTCTCTGCACGACTCATTGCACGATAGGTTCTCCGCACTACACCGTCTGTAGGTAGTCACAGTCACAGTCACAGTAACATCAGTTATCATGTAATTGTACTTAGAATAGTTGTAGGATTTAGTTTAGCACCTTTGCGCATTATTTGTTATTTGTTAGTCTTAATAAAGGTTCAATTACCCAAGTTTGAGGTAACACTCGAACCGACTCGCGCACGTTCCCAAAGTCCCGCGTGGCAAGCTAGAGCGACACAAGTGTCAATTCACTCATATAAATCATGAATGTGAAGGTATGTTATGTTACGACTTCATAGGCTTTGTAGAGTAAGGTTTGCCTTATCAGAATATATCTTAGCTGTACCAATCCATTGAAACAGCGCCGAGATCCAGAGTTTTGAAGAAGCAAGTAAAAAAGCGCGTTTTGAATTTCAACAGCTCATAAATTCTTAAGAACTGCATGAATCATGTTGCGACTTCATAGGTTAGATTCTTCTCGTCAAGAGCTTTCAGATAGTATATGATATGTGGGATTGATGGAATTGGATGGAAACCGCCAGGGGAAAATTTGTGATGAAAAGTCTCGCCTCCCGGGCATAAGTTGTGAGAGGCCCTAAACCCTTACATACCATATATTATCTGAAAGCTCTTGACGAGAACAATCTAACCTATGAAGTCGCAATATAAATCATGCAGTTCTGAAGAGGTTATGAGCTGTTGAAGTTCAAAAGCGTTTTTTACTTGCTTCTTCAAAACTCTGGATCTCGGCGCTGTTTCAATGGATTGGTACGGCTAAGAAATATCCTGATAAGGCAAACCTTACTCTATAAAAACTATGAAGTCGCAACATCACGCACTTTCACATTCAAGAATTGTATGAGTTTAACTGTCAGCTGTCAGAAAACACGCAAAAATTTTTAGAATTTTGGTTTTCGACGAATACCTCTCAATTCGACTCGATTCCTTCACTATCTGATAGAGCACCATTTACTCTTCAAAACCTATGAAGTCGCAACTGCTAACATCTTCCAGCAACAGATTTATAACAGTGGAAATTTCGCCTGATTTTTCACTATTTAATTATTCAAAATTGGGGTTCTCAGCCGTAATTGCCTGGATCGATCTACTTTCTTCGCTGTACATTATAACAAAATTTAATTGATAAAATACGTAAAATACGTACAGTTCCGCTGAGTTTCACTTCCAAATACACTATTTGAAGAGCACGTTTATTTTAGATATTTATAACGCTGCATACATAAAAATATGCTTTCAATGATCTCTTTTGCATTTGCTTTGCTTATTTTCCTTCTTCAAAGTCCAGCGAAAAAATTTTTTATTCCAAAAGTGAAGGTGGTCACCCTGTAATAGCTCAAAAGTGAGGGTAGGGGGAGAATCGGCTCCCACTATTGCACCTCTGCACACGTCCTCGGAGGGGGGATGTTTTTTCAAAGGGTCGGACCAACGCAGATCGGATACTCATGCGGTCCGCTTTACAACTATGTGCTAATCTGGGTGGATGGATCTTGCCTGGATGCTGCCTTTAAGGGAATGGATGTGTTCTATCATGTTATGTTGGCAGGGACCAAGCGAAGCCGGGTATTCCATCCTGCTACTCCAATATATATTTAGCACACCAAAAACAGACTGAACCCCCATCGCTATTGTGTGGCTGGGAGACCTCGAGCCAGCTTTGTGCACATTGTCTAAGCAAGATTGAGCTTGTTTCTTCCTGTTTTGCAAGGGCAAATAATTGTAGAAAAAATAGACTACAATTATGGACTTAAATCTTACATACAAATCTGAACATCTGTTTGTATGCGAATAGAGAATTCCATTTCTGAACCTCGGACCAAATTTGCACAGGTACACTTCGGGGCGGGGCGGGTGTCGTAGGCCTTTTCGTTACCAACTGACATCGATCTTATCGATTTTTGCAAAGTTTGAGCTACGGGACTGGGATTCGGCACAGGACGGGGGGTGTGAAGGGAGGGGGGTAAGTGAGCATGACGATTATATAATATTATTGACAGACCCTGGCGAAGTCGGATTTGCCAATTAGTAGGCGTCAAAATTGCCAAATACACGATCAAGTTTGTTTTGACATTTTATGTATAGAGGTCTCGATAGAACGTCCATCCCAATATTGTTACAGCCCATAAAGTGCGCCCAAAATTTCTGCCCCAAAGAACTGTGAATGCACGCGGTCGTCAACGTGTTAACACCTTTCTAGTTTTCAAGACTTTGAAAAGTGAACTCCTAAACTTGAGGGCGATTTGCTCTTCAAGTATTTTGAGGTTCTTCGCCCTGAATCCGAGAAATCTGCCACTGAAAAAATGAGAACAGTATTGCGGAGTTTAACGAGAAAAACTGATACTAACGATCGATGATCGTGTTATACTGCAAAGGAAGCAGAGACAGAAAATCATGTATAGTTTCGTCTATGCACAGCCACCTGGATAGCCACCTGGAGGCCACTGAACAGCCATTATTTTAAAAGTCGTTTATTATCACCAAAGATATGATCTTGTAAAAGTCGAACAATCAGTCCCTGAATATCCGGGGGAATTCTCAAATTTCTATGCAGCACTAGAGCCACTTCCTTCGGTAAGTCCACTGCCTTCACTCTGCCCACTTTGTTCCATTTCTCCATTTCCTACAAGTAATCCGCTTCCTTCGCCGCTGAAGTTTTTCTCATACTCTCCGAACAGTTTCAATCTCTCCTCTTCACCCTGAAAAAATAGTGTTGCTTGTTGGTATCGTGTGTATTAAGACGAAAAAGCTGTTCTCCTACAAGTTTTCGTGAGTCAATGACGTCTTCAATTCCAACAAAGAATGTTTGGGTTTAATCCACTCAACGAAACTCAAAGACTCGAACTCGCCAATTTTGCTAAAACTTCTTTCAAGGAGGTGATTTGTCTCGCAGAAATGTCATATTAATTGGTACGCTTGCCCTATTGTCGTGGCTTACGGTAGTCATATCGTAGGTGAATAGAACTAGAATCCCAAATTTGCTCCAAACTTTGGT